TTCTTCTGCTCTGCGCCCTTGCCGCCGACAACTTTCTTCGACTCGTCGATCGCCGCCGCGATGACCTTCGTCACCTCGTCGAGGAACTTCGTCGGCGGGGCCCCAGGGTTACCGTAAGCCCGCATCGTCTCCTTGAAGCTGTCGAGCACCTCCGCGTCGATAGTCATGACACTGGCCCTGAAGCCCGCGACGAGGTTGTCGCCGACGCTGCGTTCCAGCACAAATGACCCCATGGGGATGTACACGAACGGTCCCTGTGGGACAGTTGCCCTCCAGATCGTCGACTTGACCATGTTCAGCTGCTCCTCCACCTGGATCCCACGGACGAGATCGGTCAGCCACTCGAAGAGGTCATCCTTCTCTCCGCGCACGGCGTTCGCCAGGACCGAGTAGTCGAGCAAGGCCCTGTAGGTGAAGACACAGATCTGCCTCGTGCCCGCGACTTGGTAGCGCACTGCGGCCAGCCCTCGCCGCTCCAGCGAGCAGTTCGCGCAGGTGGCGTCCTGGCCGAACATGACAGCCGGGGGGTTGCAGGACAAGCTGATCACTTGGCGTCAAGCTTCCTGCAACGAGGTTGCAGGCGCGGCGGATCGCTTCGACAAGAAGCAGGCCAACCAGAAGCAGCAGCAGAAGAAGGCCAAGGCGGACGAGGAATCCAGGAAGAAGAAGGCAGAAGAGGCCAAGGCGGGAGCGGCGCTCATCATGAAATCCAAGGCCATGCCCACGCTTCTGTTCGACGCGACCAACGCCATCATCAAACCAGTGAACACGTGTGACGACGAGGTTGCCTACAAGAAAGCTCTGTCGGAGAACGCGGTCAAAGCCACTGACCTGGCCCTTTCATCGCCAAGGCGTCCGCGACGTTGTCGGACCTGAGCGGCGCGCGCAGCGTCAGGGCAGCGATGGGCGCGTTTCGCATCCAGCTCCCAGGGTCGGCGATGTTCAAGACGGAGAAGCGCGGATACGGGCCTTGTCGCGCCGATAAGGCGGCCGACATGAGGGCAGCGCTGGCCGCTTTCACCCCTGGCCTCGTCGAGGTCCCCCAGAGCATGGACAACACGCTGCTGAGCAAGACGTTCAAGCAGCTCCGCGCGCAGTACCCGCGCGCCGACGCGGTGGGCCCTGGGCCAACCGAAGGGTGGAATCAAGCGGAGCGGGCAGGCCGTCTGGTTCGGCGACCGAAACCAGCGCCCCACCATCCCGCCCCACCTGATTCACCCCTTCGGTAAGCGCATCCGCTGGCGCCACTTGATTCACCCCTTCGTTTAGTTTTGCGAGGGTCCTGTTTAGTTGCCCGAGGGTCTCGTTTAGTTTTGCTAGGGTCCTCTTTAATTGTCCGACGGTCTCGTTTAGTTTTGGTAGGGTCCTGTTTAGTTGTCCTAGGGTCTTGTCTAGTTTTCCTGGGGTCCTGTTCAGTTTTCCTAGGGTCTCGTTTAGTTTTCCTACGGTCTTGTCTAGTTTACCTAGGGTCTTGTTTAGTTTTGCTAGGGTCCTGTTTAGTTTTCCTAGGGTCCCGTCTAGTTTTCCTCAGCAGCATCGTCAGCGTCGTCCTCACCATCATCGTCATTCCCTCGGGTCTTATATGTATTTCACCGTCAGCATCGTCATCACCATCATCACGATCATCATCGCCATCATCGTCATCATCTTCATTCTTCATTTTCGTCATCATGCCTTCGGCAGGCCGGGGTAGAGCATGCTCGCCCTCCCCTCGGCGCCGTCCAGGACGACCCAGCAGTGGGAAACTAGACGCGACCCAGGAGAAAACTAAACACGACCATGGTCGGTGATGATGATGGCGACCACTACAGCACGACGAACACGACCATGGTCGGTGGTCGATGAGGGCGGCGGGAGTGAAGCTGAGGATTGAGATGATGTCGGTGGTCATGATGACGATGGTCATGATGTCGGTGGTCATGATGTCAGGGGTCATTATGACGATGGTCATGATGTCGGCGGTCATGATGTCGCTGATTGCGCTGATGATGTGGGTGGTCATGATGGCGCCAACTACGATGGCGGCGGCGACGACGACGTGTTTTTTCCGCTCGCAAGTGTCGCGGCGCCAGCTGCCGCGACGCCGCCTTGGCCTCAGAAGGCGTCAGAGGCAGCCGCGCGCTAGAGGCAGTGACTCGGCCACGCCAGAGGCCCAGGCAAGGCCTAGGTTTCGGCCAGGAACGATCGGCCATCAGTGCGAGCAGCAGCTGAGCCCCAGCGCGCAGTGCAAAAATAGTGGAGGGCACCCTATCGCCTTAGCAAGAGCAAGGACTCAATCAGTCACTCGCCCGACACCGCAGAGAAAAAAAGCCTGGACCACCGCTCACTTACTCAACAGCTGGGCCCTCAACAGCTAGGGTCTCGTTTAGTTTTGGTAGGGTCCTGTTTAGTTGTCCTAGGGTCTCGTTTACTTTTGCTAGGGTCCTGTTTAGTTTCCCAGGGTCTCGTTTAATTTTGTTAGGGTCCCGTTTGGTTTTCCTAGGATCTCGATTAGTTTTGGTAAGGTCATGATTAGTTGTCCTAGGGTCTCGTTTAGTTGTGGTAAAGTCCTGTTTAGTTTTCCTATGGTCTCGTTTGCTTTTGCTAGGGTACTGTTTAGTTTTCTGAGGGTCTCGTTTAGTTATGGTAGGGTCCTGTTTAGTTTTCCGAGGGTATCGTTTAGTTTTACTTGGGTCCGGTTTAGTTTTCCTGCGTTTTCGTTTAGTTTTGGTAGGGTCCTGTGTATTTATCCCAGGGTCTCGCTTAGGTTTGCTAGGGTCATGTTTCAATTTCCTAGGGTATCGTTTAGTTATGGTAGGGTCATGTTTACTTTTCGCAAGGTCTCGTTGAGTTTTGGTAGGGTCCTGTTTAGTTGTCCTAGGTTCTCGTTTAGTTTTGGTAGGGTCGCGTTTACTTTTCCCAGGGTATCGTTTAGTTTTGTTAGGGTCCTGTTGTCCTGGGGTCTCGTTTAGTTTTGGCAAAGTCCTGTTTAGTTGTCCCAGGGTCTTGTTTAGTGTTGCTAAAGTCCTGTTTAGTTTTCCTAGGGTCTCGTTGAGTTTTGGTATTGTCCTAGGGTCTGGTTTAGTTGCCCTAGGGTCCTGTGTGTTCCTAAGGTCCCGCTTACTTTTGCTAGGGTCGTGTGTAATTGTCCTAGGGTCTCGTTTACTTTTTGGGAGGGTCCTGTGTAATTGTCCTACGGTCTCGTTTAGTTTTGGCAGGGTCCTGTTTAATTTTCCTAGGGTCTCGTTTAGTTTTGGTAGGGTCCTGTTTAATTGTCCTAAGGTCTCGTTTAGGTTGGGTAAAGTCCTGTTTAGTTTTCCGATGGTCTCGTTTACTTTTGCTAGGGTACTGTTTAGTTTTCCGATGGTATTGTTTAGTTTGACTTGGGTCCTGTTTAGTTTTTTTTTCCCTTTCATGTTCTCTAGGTGTTGTTTAGTTTTCGGTAGGGTCCTGCTTAGTTGTCCTAGGGTATCGTTTAGTTTTGGTAGGGTCCTGTTTAATTGTCCTAGGGTCTCGTGCATTTTTGCTGGGGTCCTGTTTAGTTTTCCTAGGGTCTCGTTTAGTTTCGCTATGGTCCTGTTTAGTTGTCCTAGGGTCTCGCTTACTTTTTGGGAGGGTCCCGTTTCGTTTTCCTAAGGTCTCGTTTAGTTTTGGTAGGGTCCTGTTTAGTTTTCCTAGGGTCTCGCATAGTTTTGCTAAGCTCCTGTTTACTTTGCCTAGGTTCTCGCTTAGTTTTGGTAGGTAGGGTACTGTTTATTTGTCCGAGGGTATCGTTTAGTTTTGGTAGGGTCCTGTTTAGTTGTCCTAAGGTCTCGTTTAATTTTGGTAGGGTCCTGTTTAGTTGTCCTAGGGTCTCCTGTACTTTTGCGAGGGTCCTGTTTAGTTGTCCTAGGGTCTCGCTTGGTTTTGCTAGGATCCTGTTTAGTTGTTTAGTTGTCCTAGTATCTCGTTTGATTTTGGTGGGGTCCTGTTTATTTGTCCGAGGGTATCGTTTAGTTGTGGTAGGGTCCTGTTTAGTTTTACTACGGTCTCGTTTAGTTTTGGTAGGGTCCTCTTTAATTGTCCTACGGTCTCGTTTAGTTTTGGTAGTTTTTTTTTTTTTTCATTTTTTTTTTTTCCTTTTTTTTTTCTCTCTCTCTCTCTCTCTCTCTCTCTCTCTCTCTTTTTTTGTTCTTTCTTCTTCCTGGGGTCTCGTTTAGTTTTCCTAGGGTCTTGTTTAGTTTTGCGAGGGTCCTGTTTAGTTTTCCTATGGTCTCGTCTAGTTTTCCTCAGCTGCATCGTCAGTGTCGTCCTCACCATCATCGTCATTTCCTAGGGTCTTATATGTATGTCACCGTTAGCATCGTCATCACTATCATCACGACAATCATCGCCATCATCGTCATCATCTTCATTTTCGTCATCATGCCTTCGGCAGGCCGGGGTAGAGCAACGGCGCCGTACTAAACACGACCCAGGAGAAAAACTAAACACGACCATGGTCGGTGGTGATGATGGCGACTACTACAGCACGACGAACACGACCATGGTCGGTGGTCGATGAGGGCGGCGGGAGCGAAGCTGAGGATTGAGATGATGTCGGTGGTCAGGATGACGATGGTCATGATGTCGGTGGTCATGATGTCATGGGTCATAACGACGATGGTCATGGTGTCGGTGGTCATGATGTCGCTGATTGTGCTGATGATGTGGGTGGTCATGATGGCGCCTACTACGATGGCGGCGATGACGAAGACGTCTTTTTTCGCTCGCAAGTGTCGCGGCGCGAGCTGCCGCGACGCCGCCTTGGCCTCAGAAGGCGCGCCAGAGGCAGCGGCACGCCAGAGGCAGTGACTCGGCCACGCCAGAGGCCTAGGCAAGGCCTAGGTTCGGCCAGGAACGAGCAGCCATCAGTGCGAGCAGCAGCTGAGCCCCAGCGCGCAATGGAACAGGCGCGGTGGGCACCCTATCGCCTTAGCAAGAGCAAGGACTCAATCAGTCACTCACCCGACACCACAGAGAAAAAAGGCCTGGACCGCCGCTCACTTACTGAACAGCTGGGCCCTCAATCGCTCTCCCGCCAGAGGCAGGGCCTCCCATCGCTCGCGAGGTAACCTCGTCGGCATCCTTTCCGGCATCCTCAGCGCCGACCTCGTCAGCGTCCCTTTCAGGGCGATCTCGCGCTCGTCCTGGACCTCGGCCAAAGGCGGCGCCTCCCGCCAGCGCCCGGTTGCTAGATAGACCGAGTCGTACCAAACTGCGAATTCAAAGAGATCGTGGGCTTCCCCATCTCGAGCCACGCGCTTCATACCAGATGACAGCCTCTCCAAGCTAAGAGAAATGGCATGGTAGGGACCAAGGAGCTTGGACCATCGAAGCGGCCGCGCTTTCTCAGGGACCAAAAGGCACATGTCGAAACCGTCGGCGAGGACTGCGTCGCACACGTCTAGCGGGTTGGGAGTCAGCTGCACCTGGCCGGTCCACCAAGGGGCGACGATCGCAGCGCCAAATTGCGAGTCTTCGAAATAAACGAGCATCTGCAATTCCACTTCGCAGGTAGCGTTCACGTTGTCGATCCTAGCGCCCTTGCCAGAGATGAGAAGGACGGCGATTGCTCTCCCTGTCAGAGGTGAGGTTCGAAAACGCAACATTCGAATACCGTTCTCCGCTAGTGCCCCAGCAGAAGCCGACTCCAATGTAACAGCAACGTCGGTGCGGCGGGGGGAGTTCGCCGCGGTCGCCGGAATCACCGTTGCCATCTTGAGCCAGGCCCCGCCGCGCAGGCCAGCGCCCGGCCCTCCCCCGCCATCGCCGCGGACTTGAGCAAAGCCCCTGGCGTCGTCGAGCGTCTGCAGGAGCTCGAAGCGCCCCGTCTCCTCGCGGAGGCGGTAGACGCGGAGCTTCTTCTCGGAGCCGGCCGCGGCCAGCGCCCGGCCCTCCCCCGCCATCGTCACGGACCAGAGCGCGCACCTGGCGTCGTCGAGCGTCTGCAGGAGCTCGAAGCGCCCCGTCTCCTCGCGGAGGCGGTGGACGCGGACCTTCTTGTCGTCGCCGGCCGCGGCCAGCGCCCGGCCCTCCCCCGCGATCGCCGCGGACCGGAGCGCGCCCCCGGCGTCGTCGAGCGTCTGCAGGAGCTCGAAGCGCCCCGTTTCCTCGCGGAGGCGGTAGACGAAGACCTCCCCGTGGACGCTGGCCGCGGCCAGCGCCCGGCCCTCCCCCGCCATCGCCGCGGACAAGAGCGAGCCCCTGGCGTCGTGGAGCGTCTGCAGGAGCTCGAAGCGCCCCGTCTCCTCGCGGAGGTGGTAGACGCGGAGCTTCTTCTCGGAGCCGGCCGCGGCCAGCGCCCGGCCCTCCCCCGCCGTCGCTCGCCGCGGACCTGGCGTCGTCGAGCGTCTGCAGGAGCTCGAAGCGCCCCGGCTCCTCGCGGAGGCGGTAGACGCGGGCCTTCTTCTCGGAGCCGGCCGCGGCCAGCGTCCGGCCCTCCCCCGCCATCGCCGCGGACTTGAGGCAGCCCCTGGCGTCGTCGGGCGTCTCCTCGGCATCGCTCTTGAGCTACTCGATCGCCTCCAGCTTCTCGCGACCCTTGCAGTCGGACTTGTAAACGAAGTCAACTGCTGGAGACCACGCCGGGTCGGGCGCGACCACGTCCACGATGGACCGGCCGCCGATGGCCACGTCGCCGTTGGCCTGCAGGAACGCGGCCAAAGCAATGGGGCCCTTCTCGCGCAGGATCTGCTCCTGCACGAACATGCGCCCCGCAGGCAGGCCGAGCACCTTCACGCGCGAAATCGCGAACGCCGCCGCCACGAACGGCTCGAACTCGAAGACGATGCCGAAGAGCAGCTCGGCGACGCCCTGCAGCCCTTCACCTGTCAGGGCGACCTTCTCTTTAGCCAGCGTGAACTGCGGGATGGCCTTGATCAAAAGTGCGCCTCTGCTGGTGCTTGCGTTCTTCTGCAACTGCGGGGGCCCTGCCAGTACGATCGGCCAGCGCGCGCCGATGTAGGACTTCGCCTCCTGATCCCATAGCAGGTGCAGCGGCGTGAACAGACTCGCGGCGCTCAGGAGCGCAAGCGAGTTCGCCAGCCATCAGTGGCCCGCTGCAGCCTGCAACCGGCAGAGCCCGATGAAGAGGAACGTCGTGACCAGGCTGACGTCGCTGCCGAGCACTGGGGCGAACTGCATGACCACTTCGAACGTCGAATCGGAGACAGCAACTCCGTTGTTCTTCTTGTACTTGAAGGCCGCGGTAAGCCACAGGACAAGCCCCATGAGGAGCAGCCAGTCCCCATAGGCCTCCCAGGGCAAACCGGTGGACGGGTTTAGGAGGCCGAGCCTGACGTTGACGTCAGTGATGAAGAACAGCACGGCGTAGTAGGTCAAGTGGTAGAGGGAGAAGGCCTTTTCGGTACTGTCCCGTGGTGGCCAAGATACTGACACGCTCTTTGCACCGCTGATGCAAAAGTGCAATACCTTGCAGACAGCCACGTTGGCGGCAACTTGGGCTGCTAGGGCCAGCGACCACAAACACTTCCTGTCAAG